TTTTTTCAAAATATAAATTTTAGGTGTTTTTGGAGGAGGAAGGCTTAGATTCGGAGCTTGTTTATCCGCAAGGCATGTCAATGACATTTACGCCGGAAACACAGTTGCAAGTTTATCGTTGTATACCTGGCCTCGAGAGCGTGGAGATATCTGAAGCAGGTTATGGTGTTGAATACGATTACGTTAACCCGAAGCAGCTAAGGCCGTCACTGGAAACAAAAGCAGTGGAAGGCTTATTTCTGGCTGGACAAATTAATGGTACCACTGGATATGAAGAAGCAGCTGCGCAGGGTTTGTTCGTTGCTTCTGTTAGTTCAGTTCATCTGTTAGGAGCAGCATCTTAAAATTTTCGAGGATTTGGTGAAAACATCGTGGGAATGGGCATGCGCTGCTATCTTTTATTAATTTCATTACCGATAAATCAGACGTTTTCTCTGTTTTCAAACCAAACATACTTCTTCATTCACGTCCCATCAACTGTTTTACGAGAAGGTTACGGCGTATTGCTCCGATTTGCAGGTGTAGTGGCTGGAACAAATGCAGCATCGAAAAGTCAAAATAAGCAACCAATGATTATTGACAGAACGGAAGGTTACATTGGTGTTTTGATCGATGATCTAACAAGTCTCGGAACATCGGAACCCTATCGTATGTTTACTGCACGTGCTGAACTTCGCCTTCATTTACGGTAATTCTCAAATGAAAACGCACTGTTTCTTGTGCATATGCATTACTTTTTTCGGAACCAAACTGCATTATCCTTGAGCTGTCGCTGTTTTTTTTTTCGCTCTTTCTTCGTACTTTTTTTAGAAGCAAATATAATCTTATTTAATGCATAGGATTTCTTTGAGTCTTAGGCCTGATAATGCGGATATGCGTCTCACACAAAAGGGGCGGCAGTGGGGCGTTGTATCCGAACATCGCTACAAACATTTCTCGAGGATGCTGTCCACATATAATGATGCAGTGAATTTGCTGAAGTCGGTCGAGCATCCGATGAGTTTCTGGCAGAAGCACATACCCCAGACAAAACGCGCTCGAGCAGATAAAGGTCCAGCCAATCATTGCTTTAATAAAGTGCGTCATAAGTTATATTGAAATGCAGCTACATGCAAGATTTGTAAGGTTTTTTTGAGAAACATCTCTGAACCATAAAAAAAATTTTTCTGTTTTTAAGATTCGAGTAGGTGGAATTTTGAAGCAACAGAGTATAAAAAAGAAGAGTTTTAAAAAAATTATTAATTACAGCATTCCAATTTTGTGGAAATGCTTTAGTCTACTGTTTAATATTGAAAACTAAAATGAGGGATTTTATGAAATAAAAATAGCT